AATGATAATGATAATCACACTGATAGTAGTGATTTTTCCAACTCCTTATACCTATGTAGAACGTTAAAGTTAACAAAGAATCCAACAAACCCATGCTAGGAGGTGGCCAGGGCAGGACTAACTCCTAACCTAGAGCTCATGCTTTCACTGTCATGGTGGAAGGCATAGAAGGAGAGTTCTGAATCAGTCAAATCCTGCTGTCAGCTCTCTTCTAGATTGGTTTTAGGCCAGTTAGGGAATTCTCTAAGTCTCTGATTCTTCCAATAAAATGGGACCAATTCACAGAGGTGGAAATGATGAGAGCTAAATGCAATCATCTAACTAAAGCCCTTCTTCGTTCACCCTGTGCTGGACTGTGCCAAACCCTGAGTAAATAGTAGCTGATGGCATTATTAGTTGAACAGCGATGATGATGATTGCTGAAAATCAGCCAGATAGTAAAAGAGGTGAAGCTGTGTCATGTGTTAGGATCCTTACAGGAAGCAGAATTCACCCCAGATGGTTTAGATGAACAGACTTTAATGAAGAGACAGAGGTGTGGCAAGTTCAGGGAGCCAGCCAAGTTGCTGGGATGCCTGGGGTCTGCAGCAGCAGGAAACTAGTGCACCTGTGTATCTGGACAGGTGAGGACAGAGAAAGGTACTAGCAGAGCCCAGTACAAGGTGGAGACCTTGAAGAGGACCATCTGGAGAGAGGTGGTATGGTCAGAGGCCGACAGAGTAGGAGAGAGGAGGGAAGACACGCTCTGACCTCCTTTCTGCTCCCCTTCTGTCCCCTGTCTCCTTTCAGCTCCCCCTCCTAAACCCAACAAACAATGAATGCAGAGGCAGGTGCAGTGATATGAAAGAGGACAGGGATCTGAGACGTGGTGGGTAGGCAGCTCTGTGGGGAGGAAATGGAATGTGTGCATCTGGAACAGGCACTTTGAGGGGACAGTTTGTTCTGCAGCAGGGAGAGGAAAGAGAGGGAGAGTCAGGAGAGTTAGGAGAGTTATCTACAGCATCCTGGAATCTCATACTTGTGGGTTCTATGGGTAGTGGGGAAGCAAGAAGTTGGCAGGTGTCTTAGTCCATTTTCTGTTACTAGAGAATACCACAGTCTGAGTAATTTATAAAGAAAAAAATGTATTTCTCAGCTCTAAAGTCTAGAAAGCCCCAAAACAAGGTGCTGGCACGCGGTGAGTACTGGCTCCATCAATACATGGCAGAAGGCATCCCCTGGCAAACTCAGGTATTGCTTCTCCTTCTAAAGCCACTAATCCATCACAGGGGCCCACCCTCATGACTTCATCTCACCCTAACTGCTTCCTAAAGGCCCCACCTCCAAATACTGTCAACAAACAAATTTGAGGATAGGTTTCCAACTTTTGGCGGACACACTCACATCATAGCAATGGGCCAGAAAAGAGCAAACATGTTTCAGCATGGCTATGTGCCACGTGCTTCTGTCCCCACACCCAGGGATGGGGGAACATAAGCAAGTGGTTCAGTGAGATGGTCCAAACGGAGAACCTTCATTTTGGCTAAGAAACTGAAATTCATCCTAATTGCTCAGCAGAGTAGACAGAAGGGCATAAGCAGGTCAAGGGCATGACCCGGGCTGGGCAGTCCCATCTCGAGATTATATCTACCTACCCAGTTCAACTTTCTTAGTCAGAGCCCTAGCTCTACCAGGCAAAAGCTGTGACCCCAGCAGGATATTTAACCTCACAATTTCTCACCTGTAATTTGCAGATAATCATAATGTGCAGATGACAAGATTGGCATGGAGTTTAAAAAACTGCGTATAATACCAGCCAAAAGTAAATACAATAGGGCTGGGGATTTAGCTCAGTGGTTTCGCCGCCTGCTGTGCAAGCACAAGGACCCGAGTTCGATCCCTGGTACCAAAAAAAAATAACTAAATACGATAAACATTAGCTACAATAAAAGTATATTAGCTGTTATCATTAGCACTCTTTTTGTGAGTTATTAGTGAGTATAATGATTAACATTTATTGAGTGCTTATTATGATCAGCATTGTTGAGTTAGAAGGGAGGGCAGGGGGCACAGATGCAGCAGTTGCCGTAAAACCTCATCTAAATCAAACCACAACAGTACTTTGGGTCAAAAGCCAGTACCGTGTCATGATATCAGTCTAGAGAGTTATCAGCCTTTAAACAAAATGAAAGTGAATGAAATAGGAAAGTTCAGAATGCATTAACTTTTGTGAATCTTGTGTTTCCATATTATATGGATAAACAACACGCACTCACATACATCTATGTGTGCATTAGATCACAATGTAAGATGTTTTCCTAACTATGAATTGCACTCAAGAAAGCCTTTAAGATCCTGCAGGAGAAGGCGTTATCACCTGCTTCCGCGTGGCTCTGCCTCTCATACATTCAGGACCATCATCATGCCAGCTGATGTCAGGGTCCTGAGAACTGAGACACCAGAGCACAGAGCCATGGCTCAGAGTACCAGTCATGGTTTAATTTCTGTGTATCCTAGATCAAATCTCCAGCCCAATTTCTAGGGATATTTTGAGAATTGGGAATCAAAAAAGCCATCCATCCCTCTTCACTGGCTCTATGTACAATTGTAGCATATCTACTAATGCCACCATTTTACCACATGGCCATAGGCAGGAGACTATATGGCCACAGGTCACTGTGGTTTCATCTACCATATATACTATGGAATAAAACAGTTGTCTAATATGCTTCATGGTTACTATGAGGCACCAATAAAATCACAAGTATTTGCACTCCTTAAAAAATGTGGAGAGAGGGCTGGGGATTTAGCTCAGTGGTTCCACCGCCTGCCTCGCAAGTCCAAGGTCTCAAGTTTGATCCCTGGTACCAAAAAAAAAAAATGTGGAGATCTAGGCAAGGGGAAGTCTCCAGTATACACTTGGGCTCCATAAGTCCCAGAGACATCCCTCAGTAACCCCAGACCTTTCCCTTGCAGAGTGATGTGGTTGCCATTTGAGGGGGTCTGAAGGGCTCTTTAACAAGGCAGAGTTTTTGCACTGGAGCCAAACTAAAACCCACCCTGGAGAGGGCCTGTGAGTTGTTCGGAGGGAAGAAATTGTCTTCAGGTCAAAGGGGTGCCTCAGATGTCCATGATTGCAGCCAGAACCACTAGTTCTCAGGTCAAATCTGCCCCACAGGTGTGTTTCATTTGGCCTACAAAACATTTTTCTCTCATTTTTTAAAAAAGATAACATTTAAAAATCATACACTTTACATCTAAATGCAAATTTCCAGCACATCCTAAAAATTCATGAGACCACACACACACACACACACACACACTGAATGGGCAGCACTGAGAGGCCACAGCTGCCAGAGCCCCAGCCACTGAGCCCCCGCATCCACTCCATCCATCAGCCCTGCTGTGGTGCTGTTTCTCTAATCAGACAGTAAAGAGTAAAGCAAAGGAATGTTTTGTACACCTGTGTCGATCTGAAACATGGAACAATGGAAAGCCAGAACTGAGAAGGTGTATGTTTCCAGAAAAATAAGACACCTTGTTTATCTTTTGAAGGATACACTGCTTTCCTCCTGTACTTAAGTGCTGGCCCAGTAGGGGGTTGTGTTTGCTACCTCAAGCTAAAGGAAGACATACGAAAGAGAATCAGGTGCTATTGCAGCTAAAAACTCCAAAGTGTCAGTCTAGGGCAAGAGGGATACAGCAAGGCCACTGAGGCGCTTCCCTGCCCCTCCACAGTCAGACACCGTAGCAACACTGGCCGAATGGGACAAGCTCAGTGCTTCCAGATGTTGGTGGTGGCACTGCTGAGGCTGTGGGTCTGCGATGACAAGCTGGAGGGATGTTGGGGGTCTCGGGGAGACAGAATAGAACAGGGAAAACAGAACCAAACAGACCCGGATTCCAAGTGTTATTTGCTACTAAGTGACCTCAAAGGAGGTTTTGAACCCATTTTCTCACCTGTCAGATAGCCATAGTGAGCTAGTTGATTAAATGCACTCTGGGTGGCTGAGGCAGGAGGATATCAAGTTTGACCCCAGTCTAGGCAACTTAGTAACTTAGTGAAAACCTGTTTCCAAAGGAAAAAAAAAGAAAAAAAAAAAAATATATATATATAATGGGCCCCTGACTTATGATCTCCATCAGTTCCCAAGGGCTGGTTGTAATTCAACTTAGTTGTCAGTAAATACAGCTGAGATCTGGATGTTTATCTGGGTACAGGCTATAGATAACAAGAGGCAGATTAATCTTCCATTAACCTAATTAACCCAAGTTGTTCATATGTCAGTCTGGTCAGAATTTGAGGGTCTGCTATATGTATGTAAGTATGTATGGAAAAAAGGAAAAGTACTTGGTGCCTACTATTCACCCAGTCTGCTGTGTCTTAGGAGCAAGCAAAACCTGTGAGGCATCTGCTCTCAGGGCACTTACCTACTAGTGGGGAGAGACCAACAAGAAGCAAATAATCATATAAAAATTGAGCTGGGATAAGCATGGTTATACCTTGGTTGTTTATCCCTTGGCTTATTTCCAATAAAGGCTGAAGTCAGTAATAACGTCTGGGGACATATGACAATTTATTGAGCTAATATAGGCAACCCAGTACCTGCATATAGCCATTCATTTTACAAATTCCCAAGGAGCCCTGAGAGTTCTGGGTCAAGCCCTGTCCTCACTGGGATATGATGGAACAAACTAGGAGAGCTCCTGGCTCCAGTATTTCTAAATAGCATGCCTTCTGGCCTTGGTCGTCAGCTCCCTTGACAGCCAGCCCTGGAGAACATCTCGGGCAGCCTCTCGCTGGAAGGCTGAGTAGCAAAGACAGGGTTCCTCATTAGAGGCCTGGGTGGTAGTGCTCTCTGCCACCGACTGGCCAGGTGTTGGAGTGGTGACTTGGCCTCTGCAGCCTCATCCTTCACCCGTTTTGCTGCTATGGTGAATCCAAGCCCCAGTGTGGACCCTGGCATTGCCTTTGCCTGCTGATGACCACCGCTTACCCCTTTCTTTGTTTCTGGCTCCAGACCACTTGACCCTGAGTGCACCGAGGACCCAATTGGTGGATGTGGAAGAGCTCAGGCCAGAGGCCATGGATGTGAAGGAGAGGAAGCCGTACCGCTCGCTCACCCGGCGCCGTGACGCAGAGCGCCGCTATACCAGCTCGTCTGCAGACAGCGAGGAGGGCAAAGCACCCCAGAAGTCATATAGCTCCAGTGAGACCCTGAAGGCCTACGACCAAGATGCCCGCGTTGCCTATGGCAGCCGCGTCAAGGATGTGGTGCCGCAGGAGGCCGAGGAATTCTGCCATGCAGGTGAGAGAGGGAGGCTGGGCTGCAGGTCCAGCACAGGTGAGCTGCATGTGCACAGGGGAGCTGGAATGCAAGTGGAGGTGCCAGGGTGAAACTAAGTGTTGCTATTTTGGCACATGGTAAAAGCCTGCACTGTAGTTCTCTTTTGGTTCGTATCCTCACCCGACCCCTTAGCATAGATGAGACAGCTAGGAGCTGGGCTCCAGTCTGACGGCCAGAATCAAGCTCTCCTCCGAGGCACAGGTCAGATGGATATGAACAGTCTCCCTACTGCGGTGACCTGTGAGTACCCAATGAGGAGATATGTCTAAGCAGCAAGAACGATTAACACCAAGTAAGTGCTGAATACACATTAGTCCTCCGATTTGATATTTGTTCATTCAACAAGCCTATCTTAGAATCTTCTTTGTGTCAAGCCCTACATTACCTGGGGAGGAAGACGCCTCCTGGGATGGTTAGAACTTAAAACTTAGTCACTGGGAGGAGAGGCTGTTCTGACTCCTGGCTCCCTGTCCTTCACTCCATATATCCACTGGTCACCAAGGCCTATTCATCCTTTCCCAAAATGCCTTTCAAATCCATCCCTCTTCTTCATTCCTCTGCCACTTCCCTGTCCTGGCCACTCTCATTTCTCTTGAGGGATTAACCATAATACTCCTTCTTGCCCAAAGCTGTCCCTCTTGAGCCATTCTCTGCACTACATGAGAATGAAGCTTGGGAGGACTCCATATGCCTGACACTGAGCTTCTGAACTTGGCATTGAGGAGCCTTAACAGAACCATTGCTGACTTTCCCAATGGTGCCGAACCTACGGCACACGTTCCACAATGGGCTGTTTGTATCATTGAAAGCTCTAAAAGGTTTGTTATCTCTGTCCTAGGCCATTCTGCCCTCTGCCTTTCCTTACCCTACTGTTCATGGCCCATCCCACACCCACAGTAAGAGATGTCTCTAACTCTGGTACTTCAGGGATTCCTGTTTTTCTGCCTCAGCAAGAGCCTTGGGGCTTGGTGGATGACCACCAATCCCTTACAGTGAGTGCAGCTCACCCTAATAATGCCCTGCCCTGCTCCTCTCCACAGACAGTGTCAGTGGAGCCCTTGGCTATGTCATTTATATACATTTCATAGTGTTACTTAATCCTTACAACAGCCCCAGCCTGACTCATTTGCCCAAGATCACAGAAGTAAGAGAAGCAGGTCATGCATAAAGCTACTTCATAGATAGACCACATTGATAGACCATTTCATTCTGGATTCTCAGTTCACTGGGCCGCATACAAGCACGGTCACAGCAAATGGCCAAGGACATCTTGGCCTATCTATTAGTTGTACTACTGTCCATTCTTGTCTCTTCATGTTCTTGGAGATGAACATGAAATGTGTGTGTATCTTGTGATATTCTCATTCCCACCCTCCCACAGGCTTGGATCCATGAGCAAGCTGCCTCTTAGGCTCGAAACATGAGGGCCTCTCAGCTCTTTCTCCGCTTGTGGTTAGGAGCTCAGGTTCTGACATCAAACAGATCTGGATTTGAATTTTGGCTCTGCCATTGTCATGACCTTTAGCTTCTTCACCTGTACAAAGGGATAATAATACCTAGTATTAGGGAAATCATGAGGATTGATGAAAATTATAAATAATGCACTTGATACCAGTGCCTGGAACAGAACAAATGCTTCATAAATGCTACTATCACAGTGGCATTTCATAAATGCAAATACATCATAAATGCTACTCTGAGTTTTGGTAAGAATATCTCAAAGCTTTCCTCCAGCTCTTTCCTGTATATGCTTGACATGGCTCAACCAGCCCTTGGTTTAGATGCAGCACTAGCACATGAGGCTCAGGAAGGGAGCGCTCTCTGGTCTGTGTAAATCAAAATAAGAAGTGTTCTCATTTCAAATATGGGCATATGCATAGTGGTTTACAAATGACCACCCTGCATCATCAAAACTCCCATAAAGGTAGCAAGTCATATATTATCACCCCATTTGAAGTCAAAAACATTGAAACTTGGAGGATCACCAATTTCAGATTGCACAGCTAGATGCTGTGTGAGGTGAGATGTCAACCTATGTCCTAGGCTTTCAGGAAAGAGGCTGAAAAGTCACAAAGCAAACAAACCATGAGGACTTCTCACACATGATGAAATACATCTCCCACACTCACATATGAGAGGGGATGCCTCCCTCAGCAGACTTGCTTAACCCTTAAAGTTGTCCCTGACCATTTCTCTCATCCCAAGATGTCTCAGCTCTCTGATACTGACTTGTTGCCAATTCTGGCTGCTTAAGTGAGTGTGGAGGGCAAACCATATGGAAATCAATGCAGCCCAGGCTGTTTATGGCAAATAAATTTGACTTTTCACTGTATGTAGCAGTCGTTCTTCGTAACACGTGAGTGGCCTCTCTTGAGAGGGTAGGCTCAGCAGAACACAGGTATAGGCTGGGGTGGAAAGTAGGACAGGAGTGTAAAGTATGATCAGGGAGCAGCCAGGGAATGGGATGTGCAGACAGGGTGGGAAGGCAACTGAGGGATTTAAGGTCCAATTTGGAGTTTTCTTTTTCTTAAAAGGAGAGCAAAATAAGAGGGCAGATTGGAGTATGGCACACAGGGGTGATATTCAAAATGTGTAACATCTGGTCTGGTCCAGATCCAGCCAGTCAGAATGTCCCTGGCCACAAACAGAGCCCAGAAGCCCCTCCTGTGTGGGGCCTGCAGGCATTAACCATTTGTTTAATAACTGGATCTTGGGAGACTGCGGGAAGGGTTTAAGGAAGGGTCTGTAGTAGCCAGTGCAGAGTCTGGGAGGCAGTGGGGGTCTTGGATACCAGCTATAGTATTTACCCACCAGTATGGAAGTATTTCACTGCTTTAACCTCAAGCCAAAGCTGTCAGCTTGAACCACCCGGGGAGCAGGAGCAGGCTCAGGGTTACCTCCTCCCACCACCAGAACCTGCTCAGCAGCTTCCGAGGCAGCAGGGTCCCATTTGGTTTCTCCTCCCCAGGAAAAGGATGGGAGGTCTCCCCTTATCCATGCTCCAAAGTACCACCTGTTTGTGTGTTTATTAAACTGACCTTTAAGGGCACCTACTCTGTAGCCTGGGTGAGCAGTATGTGACACAGAGGTGTCTAAACCACTCAGGGAACACAGGGTTATTGGTAAGAGTGAAACGCAGTTATATGCCATCTCTGCTGGTTCCCTTCTGCCTTCTAGCAGCCCCTCTCCCTTTCTTCTTCAGGCTCACCTGTCCGGTGCAGTCCCATCCCTGGTAGTGAAATGCCTCTAAAGCTTAGGCATCCGTCTCTTCTTTCTTCTCTGTCTCCACATTCACTGTCATCTGCAAACCTCTTCTCTGACCTCCCTACCAAGCTGTTGTACCTCTTGCCTTTGTGCTCCCAGAACACTCTTTGTGGATCTCCTCTCTTTGAACTTCACCCCTAAATCAGGTGCCTGGTTGTGTCTCCCCAGTTGACTTAGGGCTCTGTAAAGGCAGTCACCGCACAGCGCTCATTGCTACATTCACTAAAGGCTCAGGGTTGGCTTGCATTGGTTTACAAGTGGGTGCCACTTGGTTATAAGTCCACCTCCCCAGATCATCAGTTTAACTGCAATAGGACCCCCACAGCCTTCATATACTCCCTCTTCCTTATCCCCAACATACTCCTGGGAATAGTAGAAACTGAGAGAAACTGCCCCTGAATAGACATTGAAGTAACATGCAAGAGTAATAAAGGACGCTGTGTTTCCTATGAAGGCTGTATTTCCTCTGTCACTCATTTGTCCTTTGTCACTACTTCCTTTGTCCTAACCCCTAGACAAAGTGCTCTTACCCACATCTTCCCTAGTATTATGCTTTAGATCTAAAATGTCCCCCAAGAATCTCTCACATATGTGTAAGGTGACTGAATCACAGGGGCACCATACTCATCGGTGGATTCATTCATTGATGAACTCGGCAGCTGAATGTGATGTTAGAAGGTGGGGCCTGGTTGGAGGTGGGTCACTGGGGGTGACCTGAAAGGGTGTATTCCTGTCCCCAGCTCCTCTTCTCCCTCTGCATCCTGGCTGCTGTAGGATGAGCACCTTTCCTCCACCGTGCCTCCCCTTTGCATGTGGTTTCTGCCTTGGAGCCAACCAACAATGCACTAAATCCTCTGAATTTCATGAGCCAAAATAAACTTATCCTCATTTAAACTGTGGGTGTTGGTTACTTTGTCCCAGTGACAGGAAACTAAGAAATAGTCCCAGCCTCAATCCTGGGCACCGCCAGACTTTCTGGAGCCCTCAAGAGACCTACTTCTACTAACTCCCCATCACAACCCTGCCTACCGCTTTTCCCCAAAAAACAAGACCTGATCAGAAAATACTTAGCCTTGAAAACTAGAGATCAAAAATGCCAACCCCAACCCGCCTATCCTTGCCCTACCTGCTGCCACTATTTTTTTGCTCAGGGGCCACTCTGTAAGGCAGGTAAGGCAAGGATAGGCAGGTTGGGGCTGGCATTTTTGATCTCTAGTTTTCAAGGCTGAGTATTTTCTAGCTAGGCTTATTTTAGGGGAAACAGTATGAGGAAGCAGCACACACAGCCTATCTCTGTGCCCAAGGCCAACTTCTCTCTGACACCATCTTCTTGCCTCGTGCTCAGGACCCTCCTAACCTGGCCAGAAGGGAACTTCTGGTTCCACGGCATCATGTAGGTCTCGTGGACTAGGCTTTTGCCCTGCTCTGGAATTGCTAACAAGTCCTCCTCAGCAGAGGACCCTAAAGCCCTCTGTATAATTTAACAGATGTGTATTGAGTCTCTTCTGAATACTGGATTTTGTTCTAAGCATGGGCTTTAGACCTGGTGCCTGCCCTTGTGGGGGTCATCTCCAGCAGAAGAGACAGACCTTCCCACTGCATGGTAGGACCAGGGCAAGACTAAAAGGGAACTGGGAGAAAGCAGGAATGAAGTCCACACAGGTAGAGGTACAGAGGGGCACTTGGCAGAGCAGGGGACACTTGATCAGTTTTTAAAGATACAGCATATCTTGGGCTGTGGGTTACTCAAAAATGGAGTGCTTGGTGCTTGCCTCCAATGCATGAGATCCTGGGTTCAAACCCCATACCACATAAACAGATAGAGAGAGAGAGAGAGAGAGAGAGAGAGAGAGAGAGAGAGAGAAAGGGGCAGGGGGAGAAAAGAAAAATACAGAGCATCCTGGTGGGTAAGAAGCAGAAAGAGCCCAACAGGCGGAAGTCCCTTGAGCCAAGGCATGGGCATGAGCACTGAATGCCACAGTGAGCTCAAAAAACAGCAGTGAGACCTGGGTAAGGACACTAACGGCACTCTTCCTGTGTCTCCTTATAGGAGCCAACTTCACCCTCCGTGAGCTGGGGCTGGGCGAGGTGACTCCCCCTCATGGAACCCTCTACCGGAGAGACGTCGGCCTCCCCCACTGCGGCTACTCCTTGGGCGCCAGCTCCGATGCCGACCTGGAAGCCGACACTGTACTGTCTCCGGAGCACCCAGTGCGGCTGTGGGGCCGGAGCACGAGGTCGGGGCGCAGCTCCTGCCTCTCCAGCCGGGCCAACTCCAATCTCACACTCACGGACACTGAGCACGAGAACACCGAGACCGGTGAGTGGCCCACTTGGCCTGTGCCAGCACCTGGATTGGGAGGCTGAGGTTTTAATTGCAATATTGATTTCTGCTCTATGGTCTGGGGCTCTGGCGAAAGTGGTGAAAAATTACTTTGCTCTCAGCGGTCAAAAGTCATGGCCTCTTCCACAATTAGGTGAAGTCCCCACCCATCAATGACATAATCAGAGACTGGGCCACTGCTCTTTCTGTCCAGATTAGGGAAGTGCCTAAGGGGCTGGGTTATTGTGGACAAGGCACCTGTGGCAGAGCAGGGGGCGGGCGCGAGATGAGGGTAACCCCTCCCCCACAGCCTGTCCTCTGTCTAGTGCGCATGCCCAGCCCTGCCTGACTCCTGCTCCTGGAGTCTCCAGACTCCAAGTGCTCCAGGTCCTGGGTTATCCCCAGGGATTTTGTCCCATCCTAGTATTGTATGTTGATCACAGGATGGTTTACAATGAAAAACTGTCACTTTGGGGTAACTTGGAACTTGCGCTTTAGAGGAGATATTGCTCAAAGGCTACAAAGTTTCAGCTAAGTTTTTAGGATCTTACTGCACAGTCAGTATGGGCTGAGTATCACTTAATCCTAAAGACCTGGGGCTAGAAAATTGGAGTTATTCAGACTTGATAATATTTTTGTAGATTTTACTGGTTGAGCATTCCTAATCTAGAAATCTGAACAAAATCTCTGAAATCTAACATAATGCTCAAAAGTTTCAGATTTTCAGGTTACAGATGCTCAGTCTTTAGTAATGTATATTTCAAAATGCTAAATGAGTAGAATTTATTCTCACCACACAAAAAGATAAGTATGTGAGGTAATAGACACGTTGATTAGCTTGATTCAATCATTCCATAATGTATGTATCCATACACCAAAGCATAATAATGTACCCCACAAATATATACAATTACTACTTGTCAAAGAAAGATACTTTTAAAAGAGAGATAAAAAATTAATTTTAAGAAGTAAAAACGTGAGGTTTGGGTCTGGTTTCCCCATGACCTCATGAAGTACTAGCAACAGACTCTTAGTTCTTTCTGGGCCCAGAGATGTCATGAGAGGAAAGGGGGTGACTAGTGTACCGGCCTCCTTCTCGTGGTAGAAGGAGGGCACCCAGTTCCAGAATTTTCCTCCTTCTTTTTGGGACCTGTTGGCATGTCTTGCTTGGAGGGACTCTTGAGTTAGTCACCATCTTGCATGGAGCTGACCGCTCAAGAATCTCACTTTCTGCCATGCTTTAGTTCCCCCTCCAACCTCTGGACACAGTCCAGCAAGCACTGAGGAGGATCCTGCTGGATCTGGCATTGAAGGCTTGGGAAAAATGCCAGAACCCCAAAACAGACTTGCCAATGGGGCAGGTTTTTGTTTCTGGGAAGCCTGATAGGGGGGTCTGCAGGTGCTCTGGAGCCACCAGAGGGCTGTGGGGTGGGCACTGTGAACTAGATCAGCCAGAGCCAGCCCGATACCAATGCCTCCTTCTGGCTTCCAGCCCCAAGTACAGGAACCACTGCTGCCTGGGATTTCAAGGGCAGGGCAGGGTGCAGGTCAGAGCTGAGCACTTGGAGAAGTTAATCTCTGAAAAGGAGGCTCCATCTGGGCTGTGTAAAACCAAGTCCTAGATTAGGAATAAGGCAGGTGACCAAACACGGTCAGGATCAGGTTAGGAACTTTACTCTCAAAAATCCAGGTGCAGCAGAAATTCCAAAACTGTACCTGCCACCCAAGGATTCAGATGTTTCCCAAAGAGGCTGCATAATTGCTGGAGCATGGGAGAGAGGCAGGTCCCGGGCATTAGTTTGGCAGTGTCTCCCTCCGTGACCCTCAGCCAGCCCTGGGAGGGGGATAGTGATCTCAGCCCCTGAGAAGCTTCCTCTCCACAGTAAAGAAGGAGCCACATACTCTCCTTACCTGGGCTCGAACTGAGCCAGCAGCCCGGCCTCTCCTCACCCACATTGAACCAGAGCACCAAACCGAAGGGTGGCAGAAGGACTGGCACAGAGAAAATGGGGTCAGGTTAGAGGACAGGAAATCCCAATTCCATCCCTGGCCTGGGATGTGGCATTGAGAGACTTGCATCCTTTCTCTGGATCTCAGTTTCCCAATTTATAGAATAGTTTCTGTTCTATAAATGAAATCGGCAACCCCTATGTTATAAGAATGTTGATGGTTTTTCAACTTGAAGGGGAAAAGTGTCTGTAGTAAGGTAAGGAAGAAACAGTGGGTTAAACATATTTAAACCTGTTTCTCTACTGTAGGACTTCTCAGAGCCTTTAAGATGTTTATGTGCATGCTAATGACAGATTACCAAAGAAGGACATATGCAGTATTCCTCAAACCTGAGAACCCTTGATTCTCAAAGCATCTGAAGGAACCAGTATTCTAATGGATACCTTTTTAGAATAACTAAGCTGAGTGAACTGCACAGTCTTCTAAATCTAGGGTGCTGTGATTCTAAGTACTGTATTGGTATGCATAGATGAAGATGCATGTGACAAAAGTACTAATAACATGAATAGTTTATTGCTGATGAGTATGAGAACCCAAGCCCAGTGCTAAGCACTTTAGCTATGTGATCTCCTTTGCTCCCCCTACAACACTTTGAAGTGAACTTTTTATCCCCATTGCACAGAAAAATGAAAATGCAGCCTAAAGATGTTAAGAAACCTGAGGTCACCCAGCTAGCAAGATGGGATTGGAACTCAGGCCTGTACAACTCACAAATCTTTATTCATTTAGCCCTGGTGGTTCTAATAAATTCTCAGTGCAGCAAAATACTTGGGTTGTTTGTTCTTTTGAAGTCTTCTTGCCATGGTGACAAATGATCATTTTCTATGAAGTCATGACAGAGAAAGGCACACACCGCCTACATTATTGTATACTCCCTGAGAGCTGAATTACAGTTGAATCAAGCCTCTGTTGGGTGATAATGACATATTTGATGAGCCTGAAGAGCTTGAGGGGGAAGGGGAGATGGCTATAAGTTCCCTGGCCATGTCTGCCCACCCTCCCCTTTGAATGTCCATTTTCACACTTGCCATGAAACTTCAAGCCCAGCTATACTTGGAGAAGGCAAGCAGGAAAAGGAGATGAAACATAGCCAAACAAAGGGGTCCTGGCCTCTGTATCCCTTGCAGATCTGGGCTCCTCAACCCCAGCCACTCATGGGTGCCTGCATACTTGTCTACCTGACTCAATTGGGAACTTACATTAACAGCTTTGTTGTACTTGGGTCTCAATAATGATAGCAATCTTAGGAATGGTTCACTTTCATTCTCTGCATAGGTTCACAATGCTCTTGCTCAGCTGGGAAAACTGAGGCATCAAGAGATGAGGAGTGTGTGTGATACCACATTTCTAGATGAGCTAGAGCTAGGCCTTAGACTCTTAGCTCTTTTCAGACTCTCTTTCCCTTCCCACTCATCTTCCCATCCTCTCTCTTTCCTTCCTCTCTTCTTTCTCCACTCCATCCTCTCCTCTCACATCCAACCTGCTCCCACTTCTCTCCTTCTTTGATGAGAACTTGGATCTCACCATCAGAACAGCATGATTCCACATGACATGCTAGCCAACATGCCACCGTGGGGATTCAGGAGTAAAGGAAAGTCAGCAACCTCTGCTGAGGGCCTATGGCTACACTTACACAATTACCTTTAATCCTCATGACAAGGGCATTCCCATTTGCCAGGCAGGACAACTAAGGCCACAAAGAGGTCAACTGACGTGACAGTAAATCAAAAAAGCTTGGATTTGACTTCAGGTCTCTCTGATCCTATAGTCTGAGCTCTTTGCTTCCCTGCATTTGAAGCAGTGAGAATTTTAGACTATCAACTGAGGCCACCAAAGATGTACAACCAACTTCTTCGAGATCTTTGCCAAATAAATGAGAAATGTAAGGCACAACCCTCAGTGACCGCTAGCCACAGGAACATTGACTCCGCCTCTGCATCCAGCCTCATATTAGTCAATAGTAATTGTCAACAGTATTGACAGCAGTGGAGGCTTTCGCTGAGGTCACAGAGATGCTGCATGCAACTGCCATCAATAATAACTTTTATAGGGTCCATTAAAGCCAATTCCTGCCCCTGAAGGTTAATATCAGCAGCATTCAAGTTGCTGCTTAATATCTAAAATAAATACAAAATTGACTGGGTAGTGTAAACACAAGTCTTCCTCCTCAGGGCCATCAGGCAGAGCTACCCCTCAAGCCCTTCTGGCCAGAGGGCCCAGCACACTGGAGGACAGAAAGGAGGAGCTGGCAGGTCGGGCACACAGTCAGCATTCCGTATATGTTTTTTAGAAGGCACAGGTTGCAATTGGAGCTCCACTCCCAAACACTGGCTCAGGATGGCACCATGTCTCTTTGGTGGATTCATTCTGTAATTTGTTCCATAAGCATGCTGAGCTTTTCCAGCGTGCCAAGGATTATTCTAGAATGTGGAAATAAGATGAATAATGTGGGTTGGGGTGGTATGGAAATAAAATGACCTATTGCTATGTCATAGATAGAAAAACAACACTGATTTCAGAGTCCAATGAGGAGGCCTGGTCTGACATCTTGGTTTGTGCTAGGTCCCAACTGTGAGACCTTGGGCAGGTCACTTCCCCTCTCTGAGTTACAGTTTTCTCATTTTGAAAACAATATGCCAGAGGCTATGAAGAGCTAAGAGAGAGCATAATGCTCAGTAGACACAGAGTTCCAGCTTGAGATGATGAGAAAGTTCTGGGGATGAATAGTGACAATGGTTTCACAACCCTCTAAACGTACTAATCCACTGAACTGTGCTCTTAACGTAATTAAGGTGGCGTAATTTCATCTATAATTTATCAGAATAATTTAAAAATACAATGCTCACATGACTTGCTTCCTGGAGGTACTGCTGTGAGCCAGCACAGTGCTGGTGAAGCAGCTGGTCCCCTTAGGAGTTTAACCCATGCTGACTATTAGTGTTAATTGTTTAGAGCACTGCAGGATGCCATTCGTTCTGCCCTGAGGG